TTTTTTTTTTCGGGGAGGGGGGGGGGCGACAGAAACATGTGACAACACTGAAAGTCAAAACGGTGGAACCGAAAATGTACCGAAAAAATGCTTCGACCAGAAGGAAACGACAAACCGAATGCGATCATCTTCATTCTTCATAATGTCTTTGTACACTGATGATAACTCGGTTACGGATGAATTTCCTGAATTTTCAGCACATGAAAGTTTTTAGGGGCGACCCAAACACGCTTCCGAAGGACAAGATTGCATACCTTCAAGTGGTGTTCCCTGAACGCAGAAATGCGGCTAAATGCAATCAGCGATCATAGTGCTCATAGTGCGATCTCAAGGACGGAGTCCGCCTCTGGTGCCCGTCCACGAAGCCTACTCCTTGCTCCAACCGGGTGTCAGGCCACCCAAGTGCCTTCTCTAGAGCAAGTGGCCGCGAACGCCACAGGCATTGGCGACGCGCTGGATGAAGGAAACCAGCCCATTCTCACAGAGGTTGATCCGGTTGACCGGTAATCAGCAGTCGGAAACTGAGCCTGGCGAGCTTATCGACAGTGAACCATCTAGTCCTGAAGGAGGCTCGAAAACGAGTATAACCGGAAGAGCTCTCAAGGATAAGCTTAGGGAGATTCGACGCCTACTATGAAAAGGCAAGAGAATCCCACAAAAGGCAACCAATGAGGAGGCTCAAAGGAATACCAGGCGTGCTCCAGTTCGCTAACGAGATCCTTCTTGAAAAACTGAAGCGACCTAACTCAACCAATAAACGAACTCTAATAGCCCTAAGTCCTGCAGTGTATGCCTTAGCCAAAGCCATAACAACGGTCTGCTAGAAGGCGAAGCAGATAAAATGGTTATAATGTACCAAAAGCTGAGAGAACCTGAAGCGCTGAGAAGCTCTCTGGTGGGTATGGTCTCAACGCTATCGCACGAACTCAGTAGAAGGGTTAACGACCGGAGAGGCCAGGGACTCCTGATCAGATTCAGGACGAGCTAGCATTTGTAAACTGTGGGGTGAGAGCGAAAGAGACTGCCTCAAAGCGCCAGAAAGAACGATAGAGGGGATAACCCGCTGTTACAAGGGAACAAATTTGACGTACTGGTTGAGGAGGTGCATGAGCACTGGAAATCCATCATTGGTGACTCGCAGCCATTTTATATATCAGAAGACCTAAGATCGTGGGCCAACGCGGTGCAAAGAGACAGAAACACGGGTAACGTGGTCCTGTCTGAGGAGACTTGGACGAGTATATTCGCCAAGATGAAACCTTGGAAAGCGACATGGCCAGATGGCATGCAAGGCTTCTGGTGGAAAAAGATACCAGAGGCCAGAAAAAGGCTGGTGGCATAGTGCCAAGAAGCACTGTGTACGCCCAGAGGAAAAATCGCACTGATCCCAAAAGGAAACTTTGAGACCCGCGAGCCTGGAGACTTCCGCCCGATAGCATGTTTGAATACATGCTATAAAATTCTAACTGTCATGATTGCGAAGCAGATACTGCAGAGCGCAGGCGATGTGCTTCACTCAGAGCAAGTAGCCTTGCGCAAAGGGATCTGGGGCTGCACTCATGCGCATATGGATCAGACGATATGAGAGGACGCCTTAAGGCGCAACAAATATACTGCATACTTTATGGTAGATATGACCAAAGCCTTTGACTCTGTGTCCCGTAGCGCAACTAAGTGGATCTTGGGCGAAGCCGGAGCACCATAGCCCACAAGGAAGTTGCCTTCGGCTATAATGTTCCAAGCAAAGCGTTCAATATTGTGGGACCCACAACGGCAAGATGGTCAAAAGTGAACTGCTAGAGGTCAGAAAGGGCGTGATGCAGGGTGACACACTCAGTCCGCTCTTATTCTGCATGGCAATCACCCCTCGGCGTGGCTGCGAGAACAGGGCACATCGTTGGTTGGGGAATCCCCAACAGGGGGTCGTATTTGGCCGCCAGGAGAGGGGGGGGGTCGTAGTGAGTGCGGCAGCCAGTAACGAGCAGCGCAAATTGTCAATGTGCTGAGTCCTGTACAACGAAACTTGCTTTGTAGAGAACTCGGATATGCAAAAAATAGTACAAAACTTTCAAACTAATCCGAAATAACTGCAAATATTAATAAGTCGACATTATCTCGTAAGTCCGTTGGTGACTAAACAGTACAACTCAAACTCTGGTTCGCTGCCAATGATATGGCGTGTCCGCGGTCGCGCTTGGCGCTGAGCCAACCTGTTTTTTCTCGACAAGCGACAGGACTACCATATCGTTCATATCAGACGTTTTCCAGCAGTTGGTCTCCTTTATCGGAGTCAGCGATTGGCGGAGCACGAATCTGGCAGCGTTGACAGGGACATGTTCCATACGCAACGGAAAACACTGTAAACAAGTGCACAGGCTCGCCATGGACCTCCCTGAACCTTATAGACACATTTGCTCGCGTGAACAGACATTACGCACAAGTTGCACCATCCCATCACCTCTGCGCGGCCCTCAGTGCGCGGCGCATCCAAAGTTGGCGTGATCGGCGCTAAACGAACCATATCCTGCTCCTGCTCCACCACAGGATACGTTCCCTGGCTATTCGAACACGCTCACTTGAAACGGTACACAGGAAACGGGTTTTTCGCGCAGCTGGGAGTGTTCCCAAGAAATCCCCATAGCGAGATCTCATGAATCCCGAGAGCTTCAGAAACAGTTCAAGAGGTTTTTAGAAAGAGAAAATCTTCAAACACTCGAAACCGTTCTCAGATTTGTGAAATGTTGAGTTACAAAAAAAATATATTGATTCAAACCTGTTCGGTTGAAACCACTCCCCAACGAATCCCTATGGCAGATTTCTCTGTGATTTTTGCGACGTTCATAAACGTTTTAGTACTTTTAGGAAGTGCAAACCTTCCTCTACACGAATACGGTCTCCTCTTCCCCACAGGTCCGCTTTTGAGGAAGTTATGGTCCTTCAAAGACACCTAACTCAGCTGGAAATTCTCGCTCCATGGCTAAAATTGCCGAATAATCTCCTGTCACAGCCGCAATTACATGCGCTTCTGCTACCGTACTCCAATAATCGGGGTAATGCATTTTTACGGCGGTTTGTATAACTGTTACGTAGTGAGACAAGCCTAACTTTCTCTTTTCCTCGTCCTCAATCTTGGGAATAGACGTTGTTAACACTGTGGTCGCTGATGGCCGCTCCCAGAGAGGGAGTCCACCTCAGGTTAACGAATGCTCATTGAATTTAATCGCGATATATCGTTATTATTACCATGTGTGTTTCAAAACGGCCATCGAAGAAGTTCATCATACGAGTTTCTCATAATACGATTGTACCGTTTTTGTTTGCAATCATCTCTGTATTGTTCTATTATGTCATGACTTCAAGTCGTCCATTTAGTATGGGCACCTTCATACAAGTAGAATTTCATAGTGGGCGTTTCATAGTTTCATTTAAGGCGAAAAAAACCGAAAAAGGGGGGGGGGGTCGTACCGAACCCCCAAAAAGGGGGGGGTCGTACAGACTCGACCAAAATCCCCCCGCAACTTTCCATCCACAACGACACCAACACCCCCCCCCACCCCCCCACCACCCCCTACCATCCCATCACACCACAAATACAACCCATCGCGCCCGCCCATTCCCCCCTATATATCAAGCCCCAGCAACCCATCGTCAACACAGATAAACCGTCCTAAACCCGTCTAGACTCCCTATACGCCCACACCTCCAAACATCCCCCCATTGCACACATCATACATCGAACCTCCCATCCCTATTCAAACCACTCACCACCACTCCAATATTCAAACCCCCCCCACTCCCCCCACCCCCCCCCCGACCCCACCTATCCCCAACCACCACCACATACAACCCCCCCCACCCTTTATCCCCACCCCCACCGCCCCCACCCCCACCCAGCCCCCACCCCCACCCGCCTCCACCCCTCCCGCCACCCCCACCCCTCCCCCCCCCCAACCCCCCGCCCCCCCACCCCCCCTCCCCCACCCCCCTCTCCACACCCACCCCCCTCCCACCCCCACCCCCCACTCCCCCACCCCCCACACCCCCACCCCACCAACACCCCATCCCCCCCCCCCGCCCCCACCCCCCACACAGCCCCCCAACCCACACCCCCCCCCCATTCCCCCCCCCCCCACATCGAATCCTCGGCGTGGCTGCGGAGAACACTTCAGCCCGTACAGGACATCAACTGGGATGATGACATTGCTAGAAGGACCACTAGAGATCAACCATCTTTCTATATGGATGATCTAAAGGTTTACTCACCCAACTGGGATGATATAGTAAAAGCCAAGGAAGGCATAGAGAGAGAGAGAGAGCTGGAGCGTTAGGACTACGGATGAATCCCAGAAAATGTGCTGTGAATTCACTGAACCAACCTCAGCTAGGAATAAGCTCACCTGGGATGGAAGATATACCAGTTCTAGGTTCCAGTTCGCTCTATGGATACCTAGAAGCGGAGCGAAAACGCTCTAGTAAATATGGAACATTTATGGGACGTACAATAGGGAAGGCTTTAGCTGCAGCAAAAAGGATTATGCTCACGATCTTGCGTTTCGCCAAAAGATCAATGGGTATAACCAAGTTGTGATCCCAAGACTCAAATATGCCATCTCGTGCATAATATATGGCACTGGAAAATTCGGCATAATGAGGAAACAAGCTAAAGCGTTTGATGAGTCGATTCGCAAGTTGTTGGCAGAATCACGGATGCGATCTAGCCACAGCTGCATATCAAGGCTCTATGTTATCAAGAAAAAGAGGGACCCGGTTAGAAAGTAGCCGAGGAGGAAGCGGAACACTCTGTGGTGTATACATAATGCTGCCTCTTCTCAAGGCCGGGATTTCAAGATTGCTACGGTCTGTGCGAAAGCTTACGAAGCAGCAGTAAAAGACTGACACTAACATCTGACTTCAGAGCCAGAAAATAGACTGAAAAACGACTTTGAGCGTCTAGCTCAAGCCTGCATTCAAATCAAAGACCGTACGTTCGCAACGCCTTCGGAGGCAGCGCGAGCCATTTCGACTCTTGTTCACGAACGGTGAGCTCGCACCCGAATGCACGAGTGGAGGCAAAGGGCAGGACGAGTAGAGTGATCAGTGATGACAATGGATATCCATCTTATTGCAAATTCTTGCTTTTGCTTAAAAGATTTTATATGGGTGTTTTGCAGTCTTCCTCACTATCCATTTTTTTAGTTTCTTAGCTGTCACTATTTAACAACTCACAGAGCACTTTGGTTCGTGTATTTACATTATGGCTTTACATGCAGAACTGAAGACGTGTGTATTACTTTCTACTGTGAATAAAAGTTCTTTTGTTCGAGTGTTTTATGATTTGGCTGATGTTTACCCCGTGAACAGTTCAACGTTTCTCGTTTGTTGATTAGTTGTTGGTGATGTTAGCAGTTTCATATCAAGCTGAATTGGCTGTTAAGCGCATCAGACTGGGTCGTACCTGATATGGGAGAGAACTCGCTCCACTGTTTAAAGCCGAAAGACACGATAAATCCCCTTGGCATGTAAGATGAACACGCCGATCACCAAAGAATTCTGCGCCCCTGAGAAAGCCTTACATGATGTCTTTTCCAACGAAAAGCGGTCTCTAAGCATCCTAGCAAGGCTTAACATACCACTACTCCCTCCAACAACGACACATCACAAATGACCGCACCGATCAGCAATTAATCACAGTAGGATTAGCTGTTTTCACCCTTGATAGGCGGCTGAATGGCGCTCTTTTCCCTTCTTTACGATTCTTTCTGATGAGTTAATTCTAATTGGTGACAAAATAAACTTTTTTTCGGCAGAGTGGAAGGTTTTCCTGTAGGTAGTATCCGCTTCGAAGCTTAAAACTTGTTCTACCTAACTTTTTTCACTTGATTCCCGCAAAACGTTCGTTCCGCTTCGTGAAAATGTTGCTGCTATATCCTGGATGTCAAATAAACACCGTATGCAAGTTTTCTCCGATTTTGGTGAAAGGTGGTAGCGCCTATTGGCGCCGGCGTCAAAAATGAACGTTACACTCGTAAGTGGGATACCAATAACATCTGCAGCAAATTTCAGTGAAAATTTTCTGTGACTACTTGGAGTAGCAGGCGTGAAATAGTGTCTAATGGTTATTCAATTCCAAACCTTTCTGTGCTTTCTCAGCACTTTCGATGAATTTCTTGCTATGTACGGGGGGGCTTTCGAGCGCGTCATAAGTTACACTTCAGTAAACTCTAATCGGACATTTCCACCACCATATTTTAAGAGCATATTGCATACTATAGTATCATGATACTCCGCCACAGCACTTCTTGACCAGCACCCACGGTCTACGTCGAGAGATTCTCGGTACGCCAATGTCGCGATTGTGTGCGCTGAGATCAGTCGAGATAATTGATTTCTCGCCACTGTAGACCACATTATTGAACTCCGCACGAACCAGGTCATTGAGGGGGTTCAGATCAGGTGACACACTTAGATATTCCATCTTCTTCAGGTACTCAACGCCCTTCCATTCCAAGTAGGCGAGAGTTTTTCCAACGCCCTTCGATTCCATGTGGTGTCACCCAATCCTGTAGCAGTACAAAGTTTCCAAGAAGGTACGGGCGACGACATGTGGGGAGGATATTCTTCTCGAGTTGCTCGATGTAACCGCCAGCGCTCACCTTCAGTCCGGGGTCCACGAAGAAAATATCGGTCTTTCCATTCCAGGTACGTCCGGTCCATACCATCAACCCGCGCCTTGGCGACTGTGGTGAAGATGATGTCCTAGACCGTAGCGACGTTGTCGGAGCTGCTCGATGTTGGAGGTCTTCCAGATCGAGAGCACTGGTCTGAGGTAGCCATCCATTCCTAGTTTTCCGGTGTTTTTTTCCACTGGTTACCTTTAGGTCAGTTGCTGATGGATTTTCTTGAAAGAGGAAGCTGCAGCAGATTATTAACAGAAAAAAAGCTGACAAAGCTGCTATTCATGTTATGGCGTCTCAGAGATGATCACCGTAAGGTGCATCAGCTATTCAGCTATTCACGCGCTTCAGTGGGCCGCTTTCGGGAAACTTCATGACATACGTTCTTTATTGTAAATGTATAGGGAGAATCATATCTCTGATAGGATACAGTTTTCGCAAAGGCTGGTCTTTGTAGAAGTATGTCGGGTTCTTGTGGCTTTTCTGGCACCGAGTCTGTCGAATCCGTTCTCAAATTGGTGTTCCGATTGACACCAGTCCTTGAAAACTGACTGTCGCTCCCTCGTGCCTAGACAACCACCACGAGCCGCTAGGCGATGGCATCAAACAGAAATCCCACACCTGCGAAAAGCAGTTTGTGGTGGTGCAGCGGAATCAGCCGCACCGCCCACCTAGTCTGACTGGAAAAAATGTCGCAGCACTGAACCGCGACCGCACTTCCGCAACACTTCTCGGACACATCCCGGAGCCATGGGAAGGCCCTAGCAAATCTCCAGGTGTCATCGTCGGATTGAGCCCCAGCAGCTCGACCAAGTGCGGTGATTCGGCCGCAAACGCCGAACGACGCCCTCACGGCACGGATTCCAATGGACACCCGTTCCTCCCCAGCTGAAATGTACCTGTTACAGGTCATACGCGGCAATTCTTTCAACAAGAGAAGGCAAGCTGCTGGCCCTCGCAGTTCTTTGAACAGGCCTCATAGCATTCGAACCTCCGCTGCAATTGTAAATGAAAAAAGAATGCGCGTTGGTTTCTAAAAGGGAGTGACCGACAGCTGAGCTTCATTCTTTCCGAATCTCACGATGTGAAAATTAGGATCTTGAAGAGCCAAAGCATAGATACGGAATCCAGAAGCAATTCCTGGTCTTTCAAGGCGCCCACTCACCTGGAATCGCGAAAAAGATATATTTTCCAACTCTGAAAATTGTTTTTAATTTAAAAGTTTATTTGAATATAACATCAATATACATGCATATTTGTGAGACACAGGGTGAGATTCAGAAGAAAAGACAAGTGATTTAGACCCGCACGGAGTGGTTCGGCTCCAGCTGAAGTTTATATGTGCTAAGATAAACGTTATGAGGAGCAG